GTGGTTGTGTGTTTGTGGTTGTCTGTTTGTGGTTGCGCTTGTGGTTGTGTGCTCGTTGTTGTGTTTGCGGTTGTGCGTTTGTGGTTGTGTGTTTGTGGTTGTGTCTTTGTGGTTGTGTGCTTGTGGTTGTGCTTGTGGTTGTGTGCTTGTGGTTGTGTGCTTGCGGTGTTGTGTTTGTGGTTGTGTGGTTGTGGTTGTGTGTTTCTGGTTGTGCTCGTAGTTGTGTGTTTGTTGTTGTGTTTGTGGTGATGTGTTTGCGGTTGTGTGTTTGTGGTTGTGTTTGTGGTTGTGTGCTGTGGTTGAGGTCCGGCAGGGAACACTGGGCGCGGATGGTCGTGGTTGAGGTCCGGCAGGGAACACTTGGGTCTGGAGCTCACGGTTGAGGTCCGGCAGGGAACACTGGGCGTGGATGGTCGTGGTTGAGGTTCGGCGGAGGAGGACGAGGCGGAGGAGGACGCGGAGGAGAAGGAGGAGGAGGAGGACGAGGAGGAGGAGGAGATGGGGCTGTCGTAAAATCTAACAACCCTCACCTGACAGGCGGGGAAAAACAAATGCACTGTCAACCATTCGCCCAACCTCGGTCCAACTAAGGCGTGCCAAATTCAAGAAAGCCAGGTGCTTCTCCTACTCTCAAGGCTGCGCAACGCAGCAGGTATGGCCTACTCTCTGTGTTTGCAACGGTCCAAGTGTGTTTGAAACCCGAAGGCCAACCGCTTGAGTACACTCCCCCATGCTCGCATAGCACCCCAAACTGCTCCCAATCCCCCGGCCCCCCGTTTCCGCAAGTGCTTGGAGGCGCGTTTGTTCAACAGCAGGTCCTGCAGCCACTTCTCGGAAGCTTTGTCCAAAATATCCAGCAGCAAGGAGTTCCTGTCCAGGTGCCAGCTCCTGGGGTAATCCAGTGGCTGGTGAGACATTGACACCGACAGCGCAAAATGAACTTGAGGCCAGGGGAGGGGGTCGAAAGCGAGCAAAGCGATAAGAGGCAAGCACAACAGCAGCAGACCAGCAGCACATCGGCAGCAGAACGGAAGCAAACCAGCAGCTGAACAGCAACAAGTAGCAGCAGCACACCAGCAGCAAAACAGCTGCAAACCAGCAGCAGAACATACTGCGAGCAAAGCCTACAAGGCATTGCCTAAAGCGACCCCTAAGCATGCTTCCAGAAAACAAGCAAACTATAGTACGCCAGCAATCCAACTGCATCTTGAAGCAGGTGCCTGAAAAAACCTTCTCGAACCACGCAAAAACGACCTCTGACGGACACCTTCGTTTCAACACTCTTTCACGTTTCTTGGGGTAACGTGGGGTCAAGAATGACATCTGCATCATCTGAAGTCAGGTTTTCACAACAGGATCTCCCATGTGTCCCTTCTGGGAGTTGAACCCCCGGGGGGGTGGCCTTAGCGTTATATCACGATAAGTGGGGTGCCCGGACCCCCCAGCTTCAGGGATCTTTAGGACACAAAGCAAAGAAGAACGCAGCTAGCACGCTAGCTTTCGTGAATGGTCAGCGTTGTTTAGGTCGGGGGTTGTCGAAGCATGCGACATTGGATCACATTTAGCAGTCGTCTTTCTCCAGTCCTGTGGTTGGTATGGGCCAGCAAAATCACGTCCTCACGTCGGATCCAGGCAAAGCTTCTCTGTGACCCAACGATTCAAAGCTCACTGTGAGGTCCCCGCGTCAAAGCTCACTCCCTGCCGGTGGAGGGTTGCCAGGGTCGTGTTCATTGGATCCTGCATCATCATCCGTGCGCCGGCTGACAGCTACAAGTTGGATGTTCACTGATAGCAACATGTCCTCGTCTCCTCTTTTTGGAACGGCCAGGAGCCGAATGAAGTAGCTCCTGAGCCGAACGCAGGTGCAGTTGGAACAAACTTGCTCACATTGCTGACAATCACCTTAAACATCTTAAAACAACTCCCACAAAACCTGTTGAACAAAAAACGCAACTGAATCGCAGGCTTTGCTTCTCAACCAAATGACACAGAATGGAGCTCTTGACATTACAAACCTGAAACAGAAACTTGACCAAAACACACCCGGTCTGTGACCAAAAACGACACATGGAACCTCATGGAACTCTCAGCCGGTGGCTTTTGGAGTGTTGATAAGGCATCCAAGGTTTCAGGAGCGACCTGCCAAGGTGTGAACAAACAACAATAGGAACCTGTGCCAAGCACTGCGGCACTGCCTGGTATCTTTTGTGTATGCTGGAAAATATCGTTGTATCTGTTTGTTTATATGAGGGACGGTCAAAACTCCGTATGATTCTTCAACTAACAAATGGACGTCATCGGTGTTGAATTAGACCTTATCGTTTTACAGTGTTTTGAGCTCGCCGCATGCTTATGGTCATATACAGTGCTGGCGTTATCGGTTTTGAGGAGGACATTATCGTTTTGCAGGGTTTTGTGCACACTACCCCTCTTTACTTTAAAGTGGTTTTCGCATATTTTGATCGTAGCTCATATGCTTCGATCCGCATTTTCGGGATGATCCTGCGCCTGGTGCGCGCCGCCAGAACATCCGCTGCGCGCGTTATGAACATACGCACCTCTGACTTCCGCAGCAGGGATTCGAGTCCTTGGTCTCAACGAAGTCGCTGTCTACTGGGTCGGATCCGCGGACGGGTCATCCGTCATCTGTCCAAGAGAGAGAATTGGCAGGCAAGAGGGAACGAGCTTTGGAGTCTTTACTTCGGCCAGATCATCGTCACCATATGATTCTCTTGGAGGAAAATCACTGTCTACAACAAACGGCACATCATGCACATCTGCCATTGGCTCCGAAAAAGAAAAAAAACCAAGGAATTCAATGAGTTCCCGACCAATGAAAAGATGCCTCTTGCTTCGTCTGTGCCTGGAGCTAGTTAAAGGAGTGGGAGAACATTGAATGCTGAACTGCATTAACTGCAAAGCACGTCTTTAGTAGGCCAGCAAATCATGTCAATGTATATTAAGCTGTTTCTGGACTTCGTCCTGGTATCCACATTAAACGAGCATGTTGCAAGCAATGATGACACAAGGTTTGAGCTCAAACGTTCATAGCAAAGACTGCCAGGAAGACCTGTCCACAACCTGAGTTGGAGACTGTGCTCCAATGCTTGTGTGCTATCAGCATTTGTCGGTTTGGACCTTCACCGGCCACACGTGCAACATGGGAGCCCTGGTCAAAACCTGGAGCCCGACCAGTCCACCATGTAGCGAACGACCTCCCAGGTAAGTCAACCAAGGCATCCTGGTTTTGACCCACAGCCAAATTGTGCAAAGAATACATTTGCTGGGTTTGCCCTCCGGTTGCCCGTTGGAGCTATCCAACTTTCCGATATTTCATGCACAGCTTCATCATACCGTACCTCCAAATGAAGACTTAAACTCACACAACTGCGCAAATGGGTAGGGAAAACGACTAGGGCACCGTGTCACTTGGTATTGTTCTTGTTTTCTATTGGTGTGCTTGCAATGACTGCTGAAGTGCTTGGTTGCGGAGGATTGGACAACTTCTGAAATCAGTGAAACCTGGTGGATGTTTCATGTATTATCAAAAACATAAACCCTTTGGATGTGCAGCTTGGCATGCTTGGCTTAACTTGCATTCAAGCCACAGCAAGAGCCATGGCTTCTGCCCACTTTCGCCCTAAGAAGCTACACAAAACGGAGACTGACCACGAAACCCGAGGGCGTTTCGTGGCCCCGCAGATGCCAACAACGTAGCTAGGTGCCTTGCGAACCCTCAAGTAGGCATTGCGAAAACCCTGACCGAGAAGGACAAGGATTTACATGCATACAAAAGCTCGAGGTCCTTTTCCATGTTGCATTCAAGTTCCAAGATTTGGTGCCATGAGAAGAAAAGCAAGCTAAGCAAGACATTCCACAACTCATCAACGAATTAGTTTCTTACTATTTCTGATTGTTGCAATACGTTCATCTTTCGAACACAGTGACCAAATGCGACCAATACTTTGTGCTCGTGCCTTGGTATGCTTGAACTCTGCATATCCCTCCTTCCAGTCCGGCGGGCTGGGAGGATTGATGTCACTGGTCGGAGAGACCTGGCAGGTCTTCCAACAGCCAGCCATTCATCAAGTGCATTGGAAGACGCAAATGACCAAACGGCTACGGCTACATGTGAGATGCACATGTTCTCCTTCTCAAGGTACTGGACTACTTCTCGCTAGGCAGGCCATGTGTGACCTACAGTACTCCGTTTGTCTCACATTCAAACCGCCCACAAGCCATCTTCTTCCAAGCCGACCAACAGCTGAGACAAGCGCAAGTTAGTTCATTGAGCCACACTACCATACACTCCTACCTGTCTCCGCGCGCCGGCGTCTAAGCAGTGAAGGTCAGCTGAGCGTTTCCAATCCCAGGCAAGCAGTGCCTCCAAGGTGTACGGCTCTTCTTGTGTGTTTGGGCTATCCTTCCAAATCAAATCCACGCCTCACGCTGCCAACACTACGCAGTGCATCTGAATAAACTCCACACAATGTCAGCCTACACTGTCAGCGCATTGCAGTAACAGGTGCTGTCTGGCTCAAAGCATCAGGAACTCTATGAAATTTCCGAGAAGGTTTGTAGCGCACAAACTGACAACCACAAGAAACATCTTGGCAAATACCTCCAACAGGAATGCCCGTCTTGTTTGCGAAGCTCTCCACAAAGGGGGCAATGGTTTCTAGATCAAAGTTGAAGTCCTGCACGCGACCGTGAGGCGCCATTGCTGTATTCGACCATGACATCGACTGCATGATTGCATGAACCGGATGTGTTCTCTGTCCGGTTCTGCAAACTGGTACGCTATACCGGAGCTGATAAGGTTGTGCTTGTGCAGCTGAAGGTCAATGGAGCCAAGAAAACCCCAGTGGCAAATAGTAAAATCACCACTATTCACTCCTCAGGACCTCACTCATTACTGCTGAATGACCCCCAAATCCAAGTTCCTCTGCTCGTTTCTGGGCCGTTTCCAGCTCCAACAGTACCCACCAGTTGGTCCTGGAAGCCTCCACGAGTGCTCGCTGCGGAGGCACTCCGTAGGCTTTGCCGGATCCGCCAGTAGCCATGGAAGGGCCGGCCATCCACATAGGTGACCCGTGCCTGGAAGACTTTCTACTAGGAACAAGTGCCTTACTAGTAGTAACAAGTGCCTTACTAGTAGTAACAAGAAGCTATTAGCTTATTGTTTCTAAATAGCAAACATTGTTACTACTAGTAAGGCACTTGTTACTAGAAGCGATGCACTTGTTACTACTGGTAGTAGCTTCTTGTTTCTGGTCCCAAGATTTGCAACATTAACTATAGTATTGACAGCCAAATCCCGCTGAAAGGCTTCCAGTGGTTTCTTGTTCCTAACAAAACACTCTTGTAACAGTGATCTTGTGTATTCAGAATGGTGTCAAGAAATGCACATATAAAGCAGCCCCTTTTGCTGGAAACAATGACTCCACTTCCACTGGTTGCCCGGTTCCGAACGCCTCTCTCAGTGCTCTGACTTTGCGTTGAACCAAGACCTCCACACCGGGCTGTGCCTCAGAAGCGATGACGTGAGACTATGTCAAAAACCGATGTAAGACGATATCAGCTGCGTCAAACACCGGTGGTGTCAAGCCACCATGGTCACCATGGTTCAGTCAGCTGCTGATCTTCCGCCGATTAGGATGACACGATTCGGCCGTCATCCGTTCCGCTGGAGTCCGCTGATTTTGCCACTTGTCCCTACAGGCCCTATGGCCCAGCCAAGTCTAGAGTCAGAGTCACAGCCCTTCCAGTGAACTTATGACCTGGATTAAAGCTAACTCTAATGAATCACAATAGCTGCAAAAAAACAGACAAAACATTAAGATCAGTGACTGAATACAAGAATAACAAAAGGAATCAAACGGCAACCCTCTTAGTCACTACCTTGCCTCCGCAAAGAAGGTTTTGAAGGCTTCTTCAATGTCGTGTGCATTTTCTGCTTGCAGCCTTGCAAATTGCAGTGAGTGCAGGGCGAGCTGAATGCAAGCTGTTACTATAAATGCTGTTCTCACGGTCTGTCAGAATGGTTCTGTGATGCTTCGATCAAAGCTGTCTGTCATTGAAAAAAACATGCAGTAAATGCAGCGTGCCTGGATTCAAATTCGGAATCACCCTAAATCAGTCAAACAAGCTAAGCCCCTGGCAGGCCGATGCTAGAGTAGCCATAGGGATCCTGGCGTCACGAACATCACAACTCCAAGACCCCAAGACGTTCGCATCTGGAGCATCGAAATAACTCGACACCAACTCTTCTGTTGCCCCCTTTGCTCCCTCTTCGCTCACATTTTAAGGTTGGAGGCCATTGCTATTCGGTTGGAGGCCATCGCCTAGTAGGTTGGAGGCCACCGCTGGTAGGTTCCACCTTAGCTCACACATCTTATTATTGCATGTCACAGCACCTTGATCACCACGGGGTACTGAATCTTGTCCCGGTGCGCCATTGCATCTGCCAAACTGCTAAAGACCTCGTGCGGGGATGTTGCTGTCTTCCAAGCTTCCTGTCCCATGTCAAGACTGGTTGTCGTGGTTGCAGTCTCCACAACATCTATTCTCAGAATGTCAAACTTATGCGGTTTCGATACGAGTTGCCAAATGGCAAAACGTGTGACACATGCTACTGGTGAAACAAGTCCCAAAACAAAACCCAAGCAAACGGCAAACGATTGATGGCCAACGAAAATGGCGGTGAAACCATGTGTTTGTTCCCAGATGATCCCAAACGCAAGGAAGTCCACACAGCATGGGAGTCCACACCCATGTGTCAGGCATCAAGACGTTGGAATCTTGGAACAGTCGTGTCAATGCAACCTGACACGACTGGTGCATCACCACTGGTACATCACGGGTGGATACGTTGAATCCCACATATGATGGTGAAACGAACGAACATGACTGAACAAAAGTATATAATAGTATATACTGTTCACAAGCTCGGCAAAGTACAAAGCACATGCCAAACAACATTGCAAAAACAATACTGACTTTGATAAGAAATCATAAGAATACCATATGGGGACCATGTGGATGTCTGAAGTACGAATGAATCACGGTCAATCAGATTCGGCAATCTGTTAACTCCGAGGCGAAGATTGGACACGTCATTGATTTGAAGGATTCCAATTGGTCTTTTGATGTCTATTGTGCTGAGCGGACGTCAGCACCTTGTTCTCGTAGTACTGGTAGCAAGCAGGTGGTGGGAAAAGTACTGCACCAGTCTTCTCGAACTCTCCAAAGTGCTCTGCAAAGGCATAGGGCATGCGCTTCTCGTAGATCTGACGAGCATTCTAAAGGGATCATGGATATGCTCTTTGAGGCTCTTGGCGGGAATACAAATGGCTTCCAAGATCGCTCAGGGGATCTCACTGGTGCGACAAGAACAAGTGCGAGGCACACTTTGACCGCTTCTCATCGATGGCTCTTGTTCTTGTTAGTCCAACCATCGGCGGCCAAGTCCAGCAAGAACAAGTGCATCTATTGATTCTTTGGCTGCTTTTTGGCCGAAATCAGGTCCGAGCCTCTCCAGGCTGCAGCACGAGGTTGAACTCATCATGATGGCTGGTTCGCCACAAGTACCGAACTCCTGGTAGAGTGTCCTGTGGCCTTCAGAAAGGAACAAATGCCAAGTGGAGCTGTAGCGAAGGTTCCATTCATCTTGGCAAAACATGTCGGGCAAAACTGACAGTGTCGAAAGGTACTGCAGATAAATTTACAGTATCATGTCAGGACTGTATGCTGAAAGAGGCAACAAACAGGTATACGGTATACAAAAACCTTTCATGCAGGTTTAACATAGACCAGTTCAAAAACAATCCTTACTGTTGATTACCTGGCTCTCCTGCTTGTCCTCATGTCGCAGCAATTAGTATCTGTTCAATCTAGCATGAATGAATATCCTTGGACCTTCGATTCACCTCACAAAACCAAAAATTACCTTAGTCCGAGTATGTCCGAGTGATTCCCACCTTGCCATAGCCCACGACAGGTCTGTCTTTGAAGCAGCTGTTTGACCCGACCCCTCATTGCGAGTTTTGTGGGTGGACTACTCAGGAAGAACCAGCAGGCACACAAATGCAATAATATACAAGTTTGAGTCAGTTGCCAAACTGAAAAAGCATTGCTATCCACACTGAGAGGCGGCTTGGAAGAAGGGCATGCGTACTTACTGACAAACGATCCTGACAATTACATATGAGAGCTGCCATATGTATATTCAGATATGCATATATACATACCGCCATGCTGCCAATTCATAATGTGTGCCCTTTTGCGTTCTGAAGTTCTGAGATATTCTCAGACTCTAAGACTTCTGGCATATGTTCGGACATGTGCACTGTCATCTACATTCTAGGATAGCATGAAATCCTGTCCAGTGCCCCAATCTGCAGGATCGCTCAGAGTCTGCTATGCAGGATCGCATCAACGAATTGACAAGGCTAGCTGGGACAGCAAGAAGGAGGACGGTGGACGAATTGACGAAGCGAGGGGGGAGTCCGCTCGGAGTGAAGAAGCATAGAAAATCTAGAGACCCTCACTGATGTTTTCATATGTTTTCATAGTAGATAGGAAGGGAAAACATGTCGTTTTCGGCATGAAGGCTAGAGTCTCATGGCGCACTGGGCGGAACGGAAGTACATGGGGAAAACTTGGGAAAACTACCACCACACAAAACCTCTTCTCCAAACATCTTCCGTTTGCCCCCCCTCCGGCCTATCGACCAAATGCGGCTCCACGCCAATCCTTGGGAAGGCCTCAAAGAACAGCTCACGGTGGATCTCCTTGCGACGCCGCCTGGATCTCTCTGTCCGCAGTCTGTCCGTAGTCTGTCCACAGACGGAACGCGCCGCTGGATTCTTTCAGGAGCCGGTGGAATCCAACCGTTTTGCTTGGCTTCCAACCGTCGCTGATTTGGAACCACCGCACCTCTTCGTAGGGTCATAGTCTTTAGCCTTCCTGGGCAAAAAGGTAGACCAAAAACTTCAGATCGGAAGCTTGAAGGTCTGACAAACAAATACTTTCAAGTATGTTGTATAGAAGTTGACAGAGTATTGACACATAATCGGTTTTCTCAAAGACTACAAAGGGAAAGGATGCATTTCTACAGCAAGCTATATACAAGCGTTTTGCTTCGCTCTGGTCAGTCAAGTGTCTTGTTGGGCTTGTGCAGGACCTCCACAAAGCCCATGGAGGGCGTCATGGGGAATACGACTGCAACCAGCCGCGATATGTCCCTCCTTGGTGAATCAACCCATCCCGGAAACAAGCGTAGCAGTCAACGATATTCAACGTACTGCTGTGGGTGCTCATGCTGCTAAGGTTCAGAACTTTGCCTTGAAGGATTTCCTAGATGCCACTGAAGAAGGAAGAACATAGGGGGTTCAAAGTTCAAAGGGGCTTCAGCTTCTGGTCATTCTCAGACCCCAAGCAAACCCAATATCATGAAGAATCTCAGCTGCATAGTCAGGACTTCCTGCGGAAAAGGTTCAGGGCCACATCTTTGGGCAAGGAGAACCAAAGCCGGCTGCTGGTGTGTTCCTGGGTTGGTAGCAAAGGTAAAACATGATGCTAGAATTCAGAAGCACAAAGTCTCTCCTTCTGACACTCTGAGGGGGTTGATGGGCTGTTTGGTGTGAACAGTGTATCTGTGTGCTTCTGCAGCGTATTCCTTTGGACACGCTTTGGAGATGACAATACCTTCAGTTGGGTCCCATTCTGCAAAAAAGGTTGAAATATGTCAATGAGTGTCATAGGTGCAAATCATAATCACTAAATACGTGGTGGGGCTTGCTGAGGATTCGTGTCCAGTCACCTGGTCTATTCTTGCCGTTTCCCTCTTTAAGTCCAAAAACCAGTCATTATATAATTACCCCAGTCCCAAACCGAACCTTCCCCAAGTCCCAAACCGTGTTCAAGGGGCGAATCCGCGCGTGATGACTTCGCGCCAGTGCCGGTAAGCACCTCCGCCCTTTGCGATCAACTCCTGCCAGGCTCGGACGCGCCCGGTGGCTCGGTGAGAACCCGGTTCCTAAGGGCGTTGATGGGGTCTCAAATGGGATATAGGCCCATGGGCTGACGGGCTGGACAGTGTCTTCAATGAAAGGGTTGGATCTGCCGTGTCAATTGAGTGCAGTCAGTGGCACAAGTCACATAAACAGGCACCAACGATCGGCAAGACCTACTTCGCACATGAAAGTGCAGCTGCAAACCAGAAGAAACACGTGGAAGGGAAAAAAAGAAAGAAACCTAAAACGATTTATTGGGCACATCAAGTTCAATAAAAGGTAACACAAAATGACTGCGAAAAAGCAAAGGCTTCAGCTGAGGAAACAGGGGGAGTCCTCCGGGCCTTTGAGTGTCCCAGGTTTGTCTGCTTTGCACGACAATGTTGACAATGATATTGATAGGGGTCCTCCTACAACCCAGGCTGTTTCTAAAAAGTCTCCTGAGAGCTATGTGCTGGGCCCAGTGGAAGCAAAGGGCCTCCGTGCATGGCCGCCAACCTTAGCCGGATATCTGTGATGTACCTCTCTCGGAGTCTAGACGCTCCAAATTTGCACATTTGACTCCAAGTGAAGAATTTTTGAAAACTGCATCACATGATATCACATGGCTTCATGCAAAAGCGTAGCTTGAAAACACCCTCACCCATCACTTCTTTTCTCCTCTTCACTCTCAACACGTTTTTGACTATAATGGTGAGCCTTAGGAAAAACCACAAGCCCCCAGCAATTGGAGCGTTGACCGTTGCTCGAAGCCTGGCATCTCCTCATCTGCCACCACATAGTCAGGCAAGGGCCTTGGGATCTCTCGTGGGAGCTTCCAGATTACTTCCGGTGTGGAGCTTCCCATGAGGTCCAAATTGTTTGTTCAGTCTGAGGAGCAAATCGAAAGCCTTTCCGTTGAAGAGCGGCTGGGCCTGCTGGACTGCAGGACTGCAACACTTACATCATCGACTGCATGAAGGAAACAAGAAAGTACCGAAAAGTCAGAACACCAAGTGCAGCGGGGGTTTAGAGTCCTTTCAAATGAACGTGTGCCTCATCATAAGTCGTTGAACGTCACACCCCCACTCCCGCTCGCGCCTGCATGAACTTGAGCTCCAAGACCAAGGCATCACCCAAACGATAGCAGTTCCTCACATAGCTGGTGGTGACCTTGATGATCTTCATGTCCTGGGAGAAAGGAGCGACCAGCTTCTCGACACCAAAAAGTCGCCAATGGAAGACACAGTGTTTCCATATGTTTCCACGCCTTCCAGATGCAATGCTGTACGCAAATGACATCAAACGAATCGGATGTGCAATGGAATGCAAATGAAACAGAATCGTAGCAGCCTGTGCCGTTCGTCATCTACCGGTTGCTTTTGTCCCGGTTGCGGTCAAACAGCTAAAATTTTGCCGCGATATAGACCGGTAGGCACTCCTCTTTCACCACTTCACCCCACTTTTCCTTTCGGCCTGGGAGCGCGTTTTCCGCACAGAAATCACAGCAGAACTCAACAAATCGATCACTCTCAGGATCTTAGGGATGCTACAAAGATTTCGGCTCTGGAGGGTGTCAGGGATCACGGCAGTTTTGTTGGGACATAAATGGTTTCCGGGCTCTTGCCCAGGCCACGGTGCCCAATCGCTGCATGGAACACACCAGCCCTGCTGGCCCGCTGTTGGGCGTGAGCCCCGTAAATAATGCGAGCTTTCAGCCTAGTAGCGTCCTTGTTCCTAGCAGTACGGCCCGGAGCCCCTAGTAGCGTCATTGTTCCTAGTAGCGATGCCAGGAGCCCCTAGTAGCGTCCTTGTTCCTAGTGGCATTCAGCACAAGCTCTGACACTTTCAACTTTCTCTTGACATTTGACGTATCATGTTCTTGTAGGATAAAGCAACACTGGGTTCTCCGGTGAAGCTTCATTATTTGGGATATGGCCCCACCAAGCCTCAAAAAGGTTGCTTTGCTATGGATATGTCTCTTTCTGTACCATTGCAATATAATGCAATATATCTATCAAGCCCTCTTGGTCTGTTTATTGTCAGAATTGGAGGAAGCTAAGCCAGCCTATCTTACGAGCGGCCTTTGTTGAAAGCTGGACACTGCCTTAAGAGCAGAGCGTGCTCTCTGTGGACAGCTGCTAACAGGAACTTTGCCTCACGGAAAACAAAGGCCCTCTTTCAATGCAATGAACATGTGAAAATATGACCCCACATCGAACCCTGAACACCAAATGTCCTGCATGTCGGCAGGGTGCTGGTGCTGTCACGGCTCTAAAACATCAAACATCAACGTGTCCACATGCTTTTTGCTCGCAATGGATAACTACACTCTTGCAGGGGACGGGAGGGGCCACCATGGGGCCACCTGTTTTTTTGTGTCCGCCAGCTCCTCCTTTGCCGCCCCTCACAGGCGGGTTTCTCACGCCATCCTCTAGGTCTTGATCTGCCTGCAAGCGAATGAGCTTAAAGGCTTAAAGCATCTTAAAGCTGTAAACTGTGAAAATATCAAGCAACGGATGAGCGACCAAAAGGCTTTTTGCAATCTGTCAAATGCCCTGCAAGTAGACCATGGTCTTGGTCGAATGTTGGAATATTGAACTGGGACGTCTGAGGATCCCAAGCCAGGAACAAAACACTATATGTCGGTTGTCATGCCGATGCGTACTGCAACCGGTTGCAATGCAAATGCTATCATCCAATCTTATGCGCTTGGAAGTTGTCAACTTGGATGAACCAGCCAATCCAGGCCGCCTGTTTTCTTGCTGCTACACGTCTGCGGGTACGGCTTCCCCTTCAAGAGGTAGTCATATCGGATCGTCGGATAGGATATCATAATATGATATCAAAAAAATGGACTTGAGGCGTTTGGCCAGTCAAGAATATACACTGACTCACTAGCATGGAAGTGGATGGCATGGGCCTCTTGGAAGACTACTCTCCTTTACAAACAGGAGGTTTTCCACTTCCATGTGTAACTGGCAAAACGCATTAAACAAGCTTGCCGCAGCTGGTGCCCTAGGCATTCCCAGTTACGAGGCATGCCACAGCGCAGCTTGAAAGCGCCCGTCCGCGGACCCGCGTCACCAATTGCATTCGACAGCACAGGTTTCACCGCAGTGCTCGAAAACAAGTTGATTATGAAGGCCTGAACCCCTCTCTTCCCCGCTCTCTGTGTCACACTTCTTTACCACCATTTACAACTTCTTCACATTGGGTGCAAGGAGACGGTCCATGCTGATTGAACAGTGGTGATTAACCACGTTCAACAACTACTTCAGCTACATCTGCATGAGAAGACCCAATCGGCAAAATGTCAGCAGGCCAGCATCGCTGAAACGAATAAAATAACTGCCAGCCAACAAGAGTCAGAGTCAAAGTTTTGCTCCCACAAGCAAGAACACAAGAACATTGAGTTGTAGTTCTGTGTCCAAGCAGCATGGACATCGATGGTGTCTGCCATTGTCCCATTTCGATCCATTTCGACCAAAGTCGTTTTCGGGCAAAGCAAGCGACATGGGCACGCAGAATAGCAATCCTGAGCTGCCTTCCATCGCCTTGGACGATTTGACGGCAAACGAAGCTGGAGTTCATCTGAAAGTTGAAGATCCCCAAATCTTGCAACATACTACCTACTTTACATCCCCATGAACTTCCGCCTTGTTCTTAGAATGGATTGGGTTTTTAACTGCCATATGTGCACCACATTTGCAGTCAGTGCGTAATTGTTCCCTCGAACCACCAAACAATCTGCTTCCCACCTCGCAGCATTCTTCACCGTAGATTTCCCGTCCGAGACATTGGAGTAGCCGCTTGGATGCATGGACGCTTGCTACACTGCATGAGTTCAGCACCTGCCACCATTGTCGAAGTCACACCCTGACAATATTGTCATCAAGGCACTCCCAACAGAGAAAGAGCAAGCAAAAGTGCCTGCTCTCCGACATGCGCAACACATATGCACTAAAACCGGAAAAAACCAGGAGGCCTTGAACCAAAAGCAAGCATGGTTCACAAACATGTCAAAGCTCAAATGATTTGGCTGAATATCAGTATTTGACCATATTTGACCTCTTGAGATGCAACTCAGCGTGCCTGAGATTCGGTTTCTGCTTCTTCTGTGTAAGTCTGACCATCTGTTCCATTGAACCTTAACACCAAGAGCAAAGACCGTGAAACTCCAACTTGAAACTGCCCAAGGAAAAGAGGACCTTTGCTTAACCTTTGCTTGGATGCCCCAACTTGGAACTGAACTTGCGCCAATTCTAGGCAGTACAACATCCTTGATCTGGTCGGAACAAGAAGTGGAAAGTGATCGTCATTGTTTCTTTTGTGCAAAACGTCTCTGCATATTACGTAGCTAAAAGATGCTAAGAGTCACTTAGAACAATAACAAACTCCAACGTACGCAAGTGTTTAACATGGAGATCAGATCAAACGGAGCTCAAACCGTACGCCGATCTGATGTTTGTATGTTCAAAAACGATGCTAACCATGAGGCAACGCATGGCGCTTGCTAACCTGGCTGTGAGAGGTGAAAGCTTCGCCGAGAGGCGTCCTCCATTGCATCACCAGCCAAACTGACCCCAAAAAGATGCAACATCCCAGAAAGGTGAAAGCCCGCGGAAGGAGGCACCAGCCTGCTCCTGCAAATGCGTAGGCCAGGATTCAAGGAACAAAGAATATTCTTGAGATTCTGATGGCTGTCATTCAAGATGCTTGAGTGTTCAATTCCAAACGTTCAGGGTATTTCGTATCATAGTTCATGATTTGTTTACATTCTGCATCATTCTGGCTTCGTGTCACCATGTGTCACCATGTGCCCACCCCCTGGTTGGGATGGACTTGATGAATCTTCCCATCCTTTGGCTCGTTTCTTGGCCGCCATGGTCTCCCATTGGCTCGTGCACCACTCCCGCGTGTGTCCACCCGGCACCGTGCTCGCGCGGGATTGGCGGGCCAAACGGTGGAACCGGGGTCGGGCGTTCTTGTTGGCTGCGCGGAATGCTACATGCTACGGAATGCTCAATTTTAGAGCGGAGATCTTGCTACCAACATGTGTTCAAGCATGAGTTTGATGGAGTTTTCCCTACAAGCAGCCAGCAACCCCAAATGATGGTCTGTGTCAGTGTCACCAATTTGGATCGTGAGCCACACAATTGCTCCACTCACCGGAACCAACTCCATCTGTGTGCTGCCGAGTGGACAACATTCATTCTGACAGGGTTGACCATAAGAGCTTTGCTGAAAGACAAAGAGGCTAGCGGCTAGCTTCTGTGGCCTTTCTTCTTGGCCTCATAGCTGCAGTCTTGCTTGAACCGTTCAAAAACCCACGCGAGTCAACAAATCCTGCTGATTAAGAAAGTGCTCAGGCTCAAACAGTGAAGTAATTATTATGAAGCATTTAAGCATTGGCATTGGGTACCTCTAGACGAAGCAACGACCAAATCTTGTGGACCCCCATGGCCCAAGAAACGAGCAGGATGTTCTCCAAACATGGTGTGTCCTTCAATTCCTTAAATAGGAGCTTCATCTTATTTTGGAACTGTAGTCAGAAGATCGAAGCATCACCCGGATCGAACCAGTCATTTCAGCCCGTTGACCCAGTCTTTTTGTGGCCCGGCTCGCACTGTGACAGTGCCAGGCCCGGCTCGCCTCACGTCACACGTCAGTCACACAAAGCCGGAAGCCATGCCACCCACACCGTCCGGAGTAGTGAGTGTTTGGCGTTCAGAAACGTCGAGGAAAGGGTTAAAAGCGTCGAGAAAACCAATACCTGCGCTGATTTGAGTTTGAGGGTTATGTCAAGTGAATCGGCACCACTTGGCCAACAAGTCAGCTCCAGGTTCCTTTTTGCAGTTGGAGGAATCTGCAAAGACACCAATCGCAACATCTATTGGTTGCTTCTTGACATCACTCCTATTTACTCGCATCTGATTTATTCACAGCTAATACAGCTTTGGCGATGCATCAAACCTCAGGGAGGCGATTCTAAGAAATTCAGAGGCCTCCCGCCTCGCGAAAAGGAAACTGGCAGGCCCATGCGTGGCCTTTGTATCAAAAATGTCTATTCCACGCTCTGAACAAAAAGGAACTGTTACAAAACGCGTTTCCCGGTCACTTCGCCCGGTTGCTTCAACATCCTGTCCTTTAATTACTTGCCCATTTTGGCCAGCTCGGCCGGAGTGCGATCCTTGTCGGTCTTCCAACTGCCCAGAAAATGATGAATGATCAGAGGCGCTTTCCCCTCTTCCGGATCGTCCCGGGCCACCTGTGGCGAGGAGTTTACACGACCCGCCGCGCAGACCCAGAGTTTCCACGTCCCAAGGCCGTACCTTAGATCTCCAAAAAAGATCATGAACCATAAACTCAACCTTTATAATATATAATATATCATACAAAATGCAAATATCAAATTAATTAAATGGTTATATAATATCAAAGGAAACATAAACCCCGTTCCTCTCACGCCACAGGGGCAAACAGTAGATGAGCGCACTGAATTCAATAAAATATATGACTGCGAAGGTATGCAAAAGTACTAGTTTCAGCTCGCACCAAAACAGCATATCTAAAACAAACGCCCTGGGAAGAAAATGCAGTTCATTTCCAAAGCATGTCCAAGATACAATTTTTCACTAGGAAAACTCAGATAGTGTGCACCTGGTGGAGACTGGCGAAATCCAATCTCCTTCTGCACTGCATCCTCTGAGTTGTCCTCCAGGAACTCATGAACTGCATCACTGAAGACCCCAGGGCCTGTGAGATCCAGTGTGCTTTGAATCTTCCAGGCGAAACGACGTCGGATCATGTGCAACACCCGAAGCAAAAGTGGATTCTGCGGAGCCGAGACGATGAACCACTGCTGAAACTGTTCGGTGCGGCCAAACTTGATCTCTGCTCGCTGCCACTCCGGGAAGCGATGCCCGAACTCATAGCCTGAGAGCTGACGAGTCTGGCTTAAATAATGGCTTGAACATCTTGGTAGCCAAGTACCATCAAATATCTAATGGGCAACATTTTTCACCCTTCAGCCCTTTTTTGTAACCCCGCGTTTTTTCCACCCTCCAATTTTCTTTTTCACCTTCTGAACCTTCTTTTTTCACCCTCGGAACCCTTTTTTTCACCCTCTACCCTTTCTTTTTGACCCTCTACCCTTTCTTTTTCACCCTCCTTCAATTGCTTGGTGTGTTGGTTGGTTGGCTAGCTTGATGTAATGCAAGCCAAGTATCGACAGCCTTTGGGGAAAACACAGGGTTGTGTGGTTTTGGTTGCTTGGTTTGTTGGTTGCTTGGTGGGCTACCCATAGGGAGCCCGTAAATAAAGGCGGGAGGCGGTGTGGTGGCAGCGCCTCCCCCGCAATGCAAACCAAGCCTCCCCAGCAATGGATTTCTAGCATCTACAGCACTTGGGGAAAACACGGGGTTATGTGGTTTGGTTGGTCGGTTGGTACTCCATTGAAGGATGGATGGATGGATGGATGGATGGATGGATGGATGGATGGATGGATGGATG